ATCAGGAGGTCGCATGTCTGCACCTCCAGCCCGGAGGTCCACGACGCCTCTCCGAGCTGGGGGTAGGGGATGTCTCGAGCGAGAGGGGGGGGCACCACCATCAGGGGGGCCCCTTTACTAGCGCCCCGCTTCCGTCCGACCCGAGTCCATCGCCGTCGTCGTTCGTCGAATCTCGATCCCCGATCGTCGTCGATACTCGCTTCGTCGTTCCTCGATCTCCGTCGGCCGTCGTCGTTTCCCAGGTCGGAGGGGGCGCCTCGGGAGGCTCATCGTCGCCGCGGCCAGGCACGGCTCGGAGAGAGCACGGCCGGGCTGGGCCCCGGGAGGGGTGCCGGTCTTGAGCGGGCTTTGGGGACGACCAGGTGTTCGAGGATCGAGGCTCGGCCTCGCGGTCATCTTCCCTCCACTGCCTCGTTACACGCTGCTCCGGTTCCTCCCTCTCTATTGGAGAGGCCTGACGGCCGGTGCCGCCGACCTTGATCGACGACAACGACGAAGACGAGGGAGGAGGAGGAGCAGGCGGACAAGCAGGATGAGCAGAAGGATGAACCGAAGGGGGAAGAGGAGGCGGTGGGCGAGGTGGGGCAGCAGCAGGAGGACGCGGGGGACGAGCAGGAGGAGGAATGAGCAGTTGGTGGAGGCTCCGGAGGAGTGGCAGGAGGAGTGGCAGGAGGAGGAGGCGGAGGATGCGGCGAGGACGACGACGCTGACGTGGGTCTCTTCGGAGCGCTCTCGGGAACCTCTGGGGATCAGTTTGGGGGCCTCTTGGGGCTTCCTGGGGGCTTCTCGGAAGCTTCTTGGGGCCGCTTGAGCTCTCTTGGAGCCTCTTGGAGGCCTCTTGGGGCTTCCTGGGGACCTCATGGGGCGGAAGTCCAGAATTCTCGGTTCCTCGTCCCCTTCTGGACACTCTCTTGGGCCCGTCTTGGGGCCCTCTTGGGGGCCGTCCTGCGTCCCTCTGGGCCGTCTTGGAGCCCTCTTGGAGGCATCTTGGGCCGTCTTGGGGCGCTCTTGGGGGCCTCTTGGGCCGTCTTGGACCGTCGGAAAGCCAAAAAGGAGAGAAGGCTGAAATTATTCAAAAAGCAATGTTAAATTTACGATTTTGGCTCCTGGGGCCCTCTTGGGAGTGCTCTTGGCGCTCTCTTGGAGCTTCTTGGGGGCCTCTTGGACCGTTTTCGAGCAGTCTTGAACGTCTTGGGGCGATCGTTCGTCGATGCGTGGCGCTCTTGTACCGTATTGGGTATGTCTTGGGGCGCTCTTGGCCCGTCTTAGGGCTTATCTTGGCCTTGGTACCCCCCAGGAGGAAAACGAATCTGGGTGGCGACCCCCCCCGGGACCCCCCCGGGATCCCCCCAGGACCCCCCCCCCGCGCAGGGAAGGGATCAAAGGGAAGGGGCTTCCTTTCGACTGAACTACGACGTTGTCCAATTTCGCTGTGGACGGCTTGTCTGAGGAAGAGGGCCCAGAAGACGGCGACGACGAGTCGAATGGGAAAGCCCCACTCGAACGGAAGAGCCCCTCACGCACGCCGACAGGGTCGGCGGATTCTGCTTGATCCTTCTTTTTCTCTCCTCCTGATCCCCCCGCCCCGAGGTGGAGGATGGGGAGAAGGATTAGATTCGGAGTTGGAGGAGGAAGGGCAGGAGGAGGAGGAGGAGGAGGAGTAGGAGGAGGAGGAGGAGGAGGAGGAGGAGGAGGAGGAGGAGGAGGAGGCGGAGGAGGAGGAGGAGGAGGAGGAGGAGGAGGAGGAGGAGGAGGAGGAGGAGGAGGAGAGGAGGAGGAGGAGGGAGGAGGAGGAGGAGGAGGAGGAGGGGAGGAGGAGGAGAGGGAGGGAGGAGGAGGAGAGGAGGAGGAGGAGGAGGAGGAGGAGGAGGAGGGGAGGAGGAGGAGAGAGGGAGGGGAGAGGGGAGGAGGAGGAGGAGGAGGAGGAGGAGGAGGGAGGAGGAGAGGAGAAGAGGGAGGAGGAGGAGGAGGAAGAATAATAAGAGGAAGAAGACGAAGACGAAGACGAAGACGAAGACGAATAAGAACAAATAATAAGAATCATAAGACGAACATAAGAAGAAGACGACGAAGACGAATCCGAAGACGAAGACGAATATCAATAATAATAATAAGAAACTAAGAAGAAGACGACGAAGACGAAGACGAAGCCGAAGACGAAGAAGAAGAAGACGAAGCCGAAGTCGAAGACGAAGACGACGACGAAGAATTATAATATGGATAATAAGAATAATAACAAGAAGAATACGAATAATAATAAAGAGACGAATAATAATAAGAAGAAGAAGAACAAGAAGGCGACTAATACTAATAAGAAGAATACTAATAATACGAATAATAAGAATAATTTGCAGAAGCAGAAGCAGAATAATAATAATAATAATAATAAGAATAATAAAACGAAGAAGAAGAAACATGATACGAAGAAGAAGGCTAATCATAATAATAATAATAACAAGGAAACGAAGACGAAGAAGAAGACGAGGAGGAGGAGGAGGAAAAGGCGGAGTTATGGGAAGAGCCTGAGGAGGAATGGGTGAGACCTTAGAGGAGGGGGCAGTGGAAGAGGTGGAGGAGGGGAAGCAGGAGTTTGAGGAGGAATGGACGGATGGCAATGTCTGGGAGGAGATATGGAGGTTATGGAGAGAGGAGTTTTGGGAGGAGTTTGAGGAGGAAGGGATGAGAGCCTAGAGGAGGGGGCGAAGGAAGAGGTGGAGGAGGGGAAGGAGGAGTTTGAGGAGGAATGGACGGATGGCAATGTCTTGGAGGAGGTAAAGAGGATGGGGAAGGAGTTTGGGGAGGAGTTTGAGGAAGGGATGGGAGCTTGGAGGAGTGGGCAGTGGAACAGGTGGAGGAGGGGAAGGAGGAGTTTGAGGAGGAATGGACGGATGGCAATGTCTGGGAGGAGATATGGAGGATGTGATTGAGGACGTGAGTTGGCACGTTGGAGGAACAGTTCAGCTTACGACAGGATTCGAAGCAGGAGCGCAGACGCAGATGGAGCAGGGAGCGAACGGGGGATCGGACTGACGACGAACGCTACGGTCGGCAGTGAGCCGGAACATCATCAAGTGGGAAAAACACACGGACATACATAACCGCCGATCCCCAGGAAAGTATGGAGAGTCTGGGAAGAGGAATGTAAGGAACCATCATGTTGGATGTGTCTCTATTTATTGCTAAGGCCTTACGGCCAGTGCCGCCGACCTTGGATACCTCGGCCCTCGAGGGTGACGGGATGCGTGATAAGACGTCGGAGGTAAATGAAGACGTGGCGGAGGCGGAGTCGGAGGCGGAGGAGGAGGAGGAGGAGGAGGAGGAGGAGGAGGAGGAGGAAGGGGAGTTGGAGGAGGAGGAGGAGGATATGTCTCTGTTCATGTGTGTCTCCCTGGGCCCCTCTACATCAGGAGGATCGAGGACCGAGCTCGCCAAGGGGGGGATGGTCCAGCGCAGACCCAAGAACTCCGCGCGGACCTCCCAAGAATTGTGCTTGTGTATTGGTTCGCCTCTGTCGTCGTTGCCGCCGCCGCCGTCGGGGTCGTCGTCGTCGTCGTCGTCGTCTTGTCGTAGTCGTCGTTGTTCGGTCGTCGTCGGCGTCGGCGTCGGCGTCGGCGTCGTCGTTCGTTCTCGTCGTCGTCCGGTGTTCCTCTAGTCAGGAGGAGCGCATCCCCACATACGCGCCGTCGATGGTTCCTCCTCCCCCTCTGGCTCATGACTGGCCTGCGCTTCCTGAGCGGGGGGGGGCGAGGAGGGCGGAGCGAGGTGCGAGGGGCAAGGGGGGATGATCGGTGAGGGGGAGGAGCAGTGAGGCGGAGGAGGAGGAGGAGGAGGAGGAGGAGGAGGAGGAGGAGGAGGAGGAGGAGGAGGAGGAGGGGAGGAGGAGGAGGAGGAGGAGGAGGAGGAGGAGGAGGAGGAGGAGGAGAGGGCTGAAGAGGAGTGTTGACATGCGGCGGCTCACGCTAGCGAGCGCTGGTGCAGCGCAAGAGGAGAAGGAGGGTAAATGACGAGGAGGCGCGAGGAGCGGAGCGGGGACCAGTGGTGAGGAGGCGCGAGGAGCAGTGGTGAGCGCGAGAGGAGCAGTGATGAGGAGGCGCGATGACTGATCCTATCTCCGCCCCGACCTGGGTCTGGCGGAATCGCCAGAAGCATCGGCGCGCGCTGGGGCACAGCCCATACGCGCGGGTCCGCGTCGCGTGCGCGCCGGCTCCGGGCCGAAGGGGGAACAGCGAGGACTGGCAGGTCAGCTCCCCAACCAAGGAGGGCGACGAGGAGGAGGAGGACGAGGAGGAGGAGGCGGCGGAGGAGGAAGAGGCGGCGGAGGAGGAGGAGGAGGAGGCGAAGGAGGAGGAGGAGGAGGAGGAGGAAGGAGGAGGAGAGGGAGGAGGAGGAGTAGGAGGAGGAGGAGGAGGAGGAGGAGGAGGAGCCCCCCCCCTCCCACGCGCACCGCCCACTGCTCCTCCCTTCCCCCCCTCCGCGGTATGACCGGCCTGTGCTTCCTCAGCGAGAGCATCGGCGTGGTCGGCGGAGAGGCGGCGGCCCCGCGCGCGCGGGGGGCGGGGGGGGGGAGCCGAAAGTTAAGCAGCGCCAGAGGAGGAGGAGAGGAGGAGAGGAGGAGGAGGAGGAGGAGGAGGAGGAGGAGGAGGAGGAGGAGGAGGAGGAGGAGGAGGAGTAGGAAAGGAGTAGGAAAGGAGGAGGAAAAGAGGAGGAAAAGAGGAGGAAAAGAGGAGGAGGAGAGGAGGAGGAGGAGGAGGAGGAGGAGGAGGAGGCGGCCCGATCGACGGGCCCTGGCGCGCAGGCCGAGGGGGCCCGCCTCGCGCCCGCGCCGCGCCGAAGAGGGAGGCCATCCCTTCACGCACGGGCGGGACGACCGACCGAGCGAGGCGAGCCGAAGCGAAACGAAAACCAAGCCTGAGGCAGGGCACACCGAGCCCCCCAACCGGAGCTCAGTATGCCCCGCTTTGCGCGTGGGGAGACAGCCCCCCCCCAAAGCGTCCTCACAGCTAGCCGCCTTTCAGGAGGGCCGTCGCTTGCTGCATCCAGTCGCTGCGCTCCGTCTTTGCGGTGCTGCCCATCAGATCCGTGCCGCGCTGGATCAGCACCAGGAACGGTTGCTCGCTGATGTCGTCGAACTTCTCCTGCTGCTTGAGCTGCTCGACAGAGCTCTTCATCATCGGATCCTTCGCCATCTCCTGCGTGAGCCCAAGGTCAGGAAAGGCGGTACCTGCGGCAAGTCCATGCCCTCCGTTGCGCCCTCGGCCTCCGCGATCTCCGACTCGGTGCCGAAGGGCGCCTGCACCTCTTCCGAGTCGGAGGAGATGTCGAAGACCTCCGCCTTGCCGAAGTGACAGCCAGCGGCCTGGAAGGCCACGATGCTCTCAAGGCTCTCCTCCTCTTCTCCTTCCTCGCCATCCGATCCGCGTGCGCACCTACGTCACCGTCATCCTCTCCTGACTGCCAGTCTTCGCCCAGTCCAGTTGCCACTCGACGCCAAGCCGCGAACGTCTTGTCCAGGCTCTAGTGATAGTCAGTGTCGGCCTGCACGTTCAGGTTGATGGGGTCGGGTGCCTGCTCCAGCGGTTCTTCTTCTTGGGCGGCTGCTTCTCCTCTTCCTCCTCCTCCCGTAAGGGGTTCTGCTTCACCGCCTCCTCCTTCGAGTGGTACTCCGCGAGGGGAGCACGAGATCGATCCCCCACTGCGTCCATGCGTATGCCGCTGCTTCGAACTCCTCGTCCATGCACGCGAGCCCTTGGGCGCGAAGCGCCGAGTCCAGCTCCTTCAGGTTCATGTAGGACGTGTCCGAGTGGACCTTCACCTGCTGCTTCTGAAGTTTCTGCAGCTGCAGCGTGGTCTCGGGCGCCTTGTGGTTGCACTCCTTGTCCATGCAGCTCTCCCTGAAGCCGAAGTTCTTCACTCCACAGCTGGGGCATTGCCAGATCTTGCTGTGCACCACCTCCCCAGCGTTCTCCGTCTTCTTGTCCTGTTGCTTGCCAGCCAGCTTGTCGGCCATGAAGCGCTCCCTGCCCAGGATCACCTGCAGCCTCTTCGCCTCCTAGGCCCTCACGTCCTCCCGCCGAAAGGCCCTTTGCCAGGGCACCCGTCGCGCCCTCGGCGCCGGCGGCGTGGCCTTCGCTGGCGCCGGCGGCCCGGCTTTCGTGGGCGGGGCCGCCGCCTCCTCGCGGCGCGTCTGCTCGGCACGACTGCCACACGCCGCGCTCGCCATCGCGGTCGGAGACCACGACGAGCTCTGACAGGCCCCCTGCCTCCACTCGGGCCGGACGAAAGGGGGGGGATTGGGAAAGGGGGGTTACGAAATTTGCTGCATGCAGCTGGTTTCGGCCTCGCCGAGGGGCCCATTCCTCGATGCATGGGCGCCTCCCGGCGCCGGGAGCCTCCCGGCGCCGGGAGCGCGCGGCGGCTGGGAAAATCAGCCACGCGAGCTGATTCTCAACCCCCCCTTTTGCTATCGCCCCCTTTCGCCCGACCCGATCCACGTGCTGCTGCTCGAGACGGCCGAGGATCTGGCCGATGCCTTCCCCGACGCAGAGCGAGCTCGCCCCGTGGAGCCTCGTGCCGCAGCGGCCGCCACGGCCCCGCGCGGCGGGGGGCCCCTTCGAAGTGCGCCGCGCGATCCCAGCCCCAAGCTGAGCGAAAGGGCTGGGAGGGGGAGGAGGGGGAGGAGGAGGAGGAGGAGGAGGAGGAGGAGGAGGAGGAGGAGGAGAGAGAGGGAGGAGAGGAGGAGGAGGAGGGGAGGAGGAGGGGGAGGAGGAAGGAGGAGGAGGAGGAGGAGGAGGAGGAGGAGGAGGAGGAGGAGGGAGTTGGGTGAGGGGGAGGAGGAGGAGGAGGAGGAGTTGGGTGAGGGGGAAGGGGCGGGGGGGCGTGGGGGGGAGGAGGACCTCCAGGGTGCCCTGGGCTTCTTGTGTTTGGATGGTTCCCCTCTGGAAAAAGAGTGGCGTTCGCGCACCAAGCAATTCAATGGGCGTCCTGGGGTGTCAGGGTGTTTTTTTACGGTTTCTTGTGGTCGGGCTTCCAGTGTATGACCAAGATGTTGCGGGATCTTGCCGACGCCGATCTTGGCCACGGTCCATGCTGGCCGTCGCCGATTCGCGAGGATGACCCGCGAGTTGACGCTGACCGAGGTGGACGGTGACCAAGTCCGACACGACGTGCCCGCGTTCGGTCTTGGTCGCGGACCCCGTTCTCTTCCCCTCCACGCCTGGCGCCCACCTCTGGAGAGGATCGTCCAGCGCGCAGCCGCCGGTACCTGTTTCAAGCAGTGGCGAGGTGGCCTGGCTCGCCTATAGGCCCACCAAGTAGTGTTCTAAGAACCTTTCGTGGTTTGCGCGACATGCTCTTAGAACATTTCTGGCGGATTCTGTGTTCTTTTTTGTTTATCAAATGGGGTTCATGTTCTAAGAACATTGGTGTTGTTCATAGAACATTTCGGGGTCCTGAGAACATGTCGTGGTAGGCCTATAGGAATGCCGGGACGGTCGGTTCCTGCTCAATTGTTGACCTTCTGGCACTGGGCTGCGCGCCCGCCACATGACGACCGAGTCCCGGGTCGCTCCTGGCGGCGGCAGCGGTGAATCGGTTGGCTGGCGAGGGGCAGCAGGGGCCGACGTCTCGGCCCGGCAGCGCCGTCGAGGGCCGAGGAGCTGTCGCTCCTCGGGTCGACGGGTACTGCTGCCAGCGCTTCTGCCCCCCCCCCGCCGCTGGAAGCGGCGCGGAGGCCGAGCCATCCTCCCCCCGCCGCCTCCGGCGGCGCGGGGCCCCGGAGGGAGAGACCGCAGGCGGTCGCGAGGTCCTCGCCCAGCCGGTGAGCGCGGGGGGAAAGCGCGCCGACCGCTGCGGAGGCCAGGGCGCCGTGCGGCCGCGCGTTCGCAGCTGTCCGGCGCTGTCGGCAGGGAAATGCTCACGTGCGGGGGCGGAGGGGCAGCCAGCAGCAGGAGCAGCGGCAGGGCCGCGGAGGAGGAGAGCCGAACGGGAGCCAACGAGCGCAAGCTTCGCGAGGCCCGCGCGGACTTCCGAGATCGGCGCTGGGCCCTCCCAGGCGGCGCCTCCAGCACCGCGCCTGGCGCGCTCCTGCCAGAGAGGGAGGCGCAGCGCCGATCCGAGATATCCGCGCGGATGCTGTTTTGTCTTGCACAACGGCGAAGTTCAGGAGGGACATACACAGGCACAATTCATCGTCGACTCCAGGGAAAATATGCGAAAATATAGGAAGTGGGGAGGGACGACGAAAACCCAGAAATCTAGGGGGAACTATGGGGAACCTTGTTATTTGTATCTATTTATTTGTGTGTCCCAGGGCCCCGTCAGAAGTATTTGCATGCTCATGTGCGTCGCCCCTGCTGTGTCCCGCACTGCGCTGCGTCGCGCTCGCTGAGCTGGCGGGCTTGGGCCCCGAGGCTGCCATGAGCTTTCGGTCAACCAGCTGCTGGCGGCCAGCCGCGACCACGGTCCTTTGCTAGTTTCGGTGCCCGTGGTGCCCCGTGGATGTATACGATTCCGGATCTGCGGCGTCGCGATCTCTTCTCTGTGCGAGCGTGTTGTTCACGCTTCGGTCTACTGTCAGGAGCGGCACGAAGATGCACACGTACGTGAACCCACCCAGGTTTCGAAAGTGTGCATTTCGCAAACGTTCGTGTCACCAGGCTGGCCCCGCGGACTGGGGGGCCGCATTTATGTACGTGGCAAGGCGCGTTCGTCCTTCCGTGGAATCCCTATATGGGGATCCGTTTCGGGCACAGGGTTTGATCACTGCCAAGCACGACCCGGGATGAACAACTGGTATCCGTGAAGTGAGCCTATGAGCTCCATACATCTTTACATGCATTTCCTGCGTACACCTGGATATGTCTCAAGATACGTGGCGACCCTCAGAGTCTGGGATTCGCATGTCCTTAGCTCGACACCGCGCTATCTAGGATGGTCTGGTCATCCGACGTGCTTGGCACCAGATCCATGGAGGCTTCAGTGGGCCCTTCACATCAATTGGTGGTGAGACGGGCTTTGCCATGTCCACGGCTTGGAGGGCCCATGTGCCGGATATCCCAGACGTCTGCACGTTTTGTGAAGTATGTCATTGCCGTGATCTCCGTTTATACGCACGCAGCTCGCGCCAGTTCGAAGAGGGGACATTTCGACCTGGGCAACCGCTTGCATGTGATTGGATCTATTGACGACCCTGCATCCCCAGGCCTCCTGTGCGCCTCCTCCTCCTCCTGAGGACGTCTGCGACACGGACGCCGACGGACGACGTCGACGTCAACGACGGCGACGGTCGATGACGACGACGACGCACAACGACGGACACGACTGGCAACGACGATGACGACGACGACGACGACGACGACGACGACGACGACGACGACGACGACGGTGACGACGACGACGACGACGACGACGACGACGACGACGACGACGACGGACAACGCGACGACGATTGGCGACTGCGGAGTCCGACCAAGGACGGACGCGGCGGCCAACAGCGCCGGACGGCGCCGACGACAGCGGCAGGCGGCGTCGCTGCTGAACTGGGCCACGTTCGACGAGGACCGCCGCCGCCGTCGCTGGGCGGCCCGGCCGATGCGCGCCGCCCGTGGCTCGACGAGGGCCGTCGACCCCGTCGTCGTGCCCTCCTCCTCCTCCTCCTCCTCCTCCTCCTCCTCCTCCTCCACATCATCCAGATCGTCGTGGTCTTCGTCGTCCTCCTCATCCTCCTCGTCGCCCCGCTCATCCTCCTCGCCGCCGTCCTGGCCCTCCCCCCCCGTCCCAGAAGCCTCTCGTGCACACCCCCGGAGGGACCTCCGAGGGACGTCGCCCGCGGAGGCCTCTGGGGGCCTGACCCCCGAGGAGGAGGGCAGGGACGAGGGAGGGCGAGGAGGACGAGGGCGAGGAGCAGTGGGAGGAGGAGGCGGAGAGGAGAGCGAGGAGGAGGACGAGGAGGCGAGGAGGACGAGGAGGAGGAGGAGGAGGACGAGGACGCGGAGAGGAGAGCGAGGAGGACGAGGAGGCGAGGAGGAGGAGAGGAGAGCGAGGAGAGGAGAGCGAGACGGGGACGAGGAGCAGTGTTCAGTCGGGCCTGTCCCTCTACAGGGGGAGGATTCAACAATAGTCAAAGAATAGTCGGGGGGCTATCTTTTGAGTATTATTTGACCATTCTGGAGTGTTGTTTGAGTATTTCTTATGTTTCGTCGAAAGTCCCCCTGTAGGTTGACACGCCCGACTTGCGACAAGGAGGACGAGGAGTAGTGCGAGGAGGAGGGGGAGAGGAGAGCGAGGAGGACGAGGATGATGATGGTTGTAGGGGAGAGCGACGACGACGACGACGACGATGGCGACGACCCCCGAGGA